CTGAAGTGGGGGCAGGCAGGAGTCCCCAAAGTGGCCTTGCAGGCAGTTTTGGATGAACCCACTCACAGTTCCCCTCAAGTCCTATTCTAGGAGGAAAAAACAAATGGAAACAGCCCACCTCAAGCTCAGAATGTCTTTCAAGCTGGTGCTTATCTTCTGAAAGGGGTATTCTACCCCTCGGCCTGTGATCCAGCTTCAGTCCACCCGCAAACCTCAAAGCCTGATCTGAAACAAGCTTGTACTTGGTAAGATGGCACACAAGAGAATGGGAAGGAGAGGGAGAGGGAAGGAGGGAGGTTGGTTTTCCTGGAACCCTTATTAAATCAACTTTCCAAGGACAGCCAGAAACTCCAGGCCCTCCCCAGTCCCTTAGGAGCATTTGCAGACTGCTAGTATTGCATTCAGCTGGGGGAGGGGCTGCCAACACACACACACACACACACACACACACACACCCCACACACACACTTACAGCACAAAGCCTTTCCAATGGGGGGAAAAGGTTTCAATGCAGGCAGGGTTTGGGGTAGTCTGCTTTCAGTTTAGGGACAAATCCTTTATACACAGATTATAGTGTTTTTTGAGGACAATAGCAGCATTATTTAATAACCAGTAGGGCCAAGACTATACAATATATCTAACATTTGTAAAGTTCCCTAAAGTTCACAAAGCATGAAGATATGTTTTCTCTTAACCCGTCACAGTCACAGCTGTTCTCTGACACTGCAGGGCAGTGTGCCGTACCACAGAGCTCGTGAGGGATAAAAGTGCCACACTAGGAAGGGACTTCCTTCACCAGACTTGTTCTCCAAGTCCCATGGCTTTCCACTGTTACATCCTAGGCCATTCCAAGTTGCCCCAGGAGACCACATGTCCCTTACCATATGGGGTAGACTCCTGGGTCCCGGGAAAATGTACTAAGAACAGCCATTTATTACTGTGTACCAGGCTCTGTGTAAGAGCTGTGCAGACAGTCTCATTTGATCTTTACAATGACCTTATGAGCACATATTCATTATTAACAGAGTTTATAGAAAGGCAGAGAAAACTGTCCCAAGAGTCAACAGGGAGTAAGAAGTGGAGTCAAAGCCAGGTGTGGTGGTGCATGCTTGTAATCCCCTAGACTTGAGAGGCTTAGGCAGGAGGATGGCAAATTTAGAGGCTAGCCTCACAACTTAGTGAGACACTGTCTCAAAATAAAATTAAAAAGGGCTGGAAATGTAGCTCAGTGGTAGACTAGCTCTGAGCCAAATCTCCATTACTATAAAAGAAAGAAAAAAAGAAGAAGTGCACTTGAAATCAAAATGAAGGTAGTCAAGAAAAAACATAAAGACTTGTGCATGAATGTTCAGAACACAGTAGTTTTATTAAAAATGGCCAAAATTGTTCATAACTGCTATAATTCATGTGTTGGCAGGTTGGCTTCCAGAGTGACAATATTGAAAGGTTGAATACCTTTAAGAGGTGGGGCTTAGTGAAGGTCACTGCTTTCATAAGGGATTAAATGTAGTTCTCATGAAACCTGTAAGTTCCCTGGAGACTTGTTAATAAAAAGAGGCCCCTCCCTGGTCTCCCTATCTCACCATATGATCTCTCTTATATACACTCCCCTGGTGACCCACCCTCCATGTAGTGATACTGCAAGGTGGGCCATCACCTGAGGCTAAATATGTGGGTGGCCTGATCTTGGACTTTCAGCCTCCAAAACCATGAGGTAAACAAACTTCTTTTCTTTATAAGTATCCAATTTCAGGTCTTTTGCTATAACAACTGAAAACAGACTAACACCCCATGACCGAAATGGCCATCAACGGGTGAATACACACTCAGCATGTAATTTTATCATATGAAATTCTAAAACAGGAAAAACTAACCTATGGTGAAAGAAAGTAGATTAGAGGTTGCCCAGGGACTGACTGAAGAGGGGCACGGTGAGGGGTGATGAAAATGTTCTATATCTTCGCTGAGGTAGTAGTTACATGGTGTACACACATTCTATAAAAACACATGGAGCCGGGTGCGGTGGCGCATGCCTATAATCTGAACAGCTCAGGAGGCTGAGGCAGGAGGGTCGCAAGTTCAAAGCCAGCCTCAGCAACAGTGAGACGCCAAGCAACTCGGGGAGACCCTGTCTCAAAATAAAATACAAAATAGGGCTGGGGATGTGGCTCGGTGGTCAAGTGCCCTGAGTTCCATCCCAGGTACCAAAAAACAAAAACAAACCAACAAAACACGTGGAACCATACACTTACAATCAACACATTTTATGTTACATAAATTATACCTCAATTAAGTTAACGTTTTTATAAGCTCAGTCCTGACTGCCTACAGCTTCCCAACAGCCCCCATCCCCCTCTCTTCCTCCCTCTATTCTCAGAGCTTGTACTTTGTCCTCATCAAGACCTTCAGATCCCTGGCTCTATCCTCCATCCCTGCCTGTTTCCTTTCCTAGATAGGATCCACCACCAGCAGCTTCAATGACCCTCCTCCTCCAGCCCCACAGCCCATCTAAATCTCCTTTAGCTCACATTTCCCTGCTCCATACCCTCTTCCGGCCTTCAAGTGACTAGGCCAAAGATTTGTACGAATTCATTTTCTCTAATCTCCATTCTTGGGCAAAGAGTCTTGGAGAAAGTTAAAAAAAGGAAAAAGAAAATGCTTCAGGGTCCATCATAAAAGCACATTCTCAACCCTCATCCGTGTCCTCCTTGTTCCTGGACTCCCCTGCTACACAGTGGCTGGTCACCATCTTCTCTGCTCCCCGTAACCTCCCACACGCGGATTCACTCCCTTACTTTCATCTTGTCTTGTCTCTAGTCATCTAGAGCTGCTATTCTACCAACTGAAACCCCTAGGTTCTATTTCTGGAGGGTCTTTACTTTTTTTCCTTCCTTTACAATCTTACAGCCCCCATCCTACTTCCCGATCTCACTCCAACTAGACATTCAAAACAACCCTGTCAACAGAGGCCGCAGCAGTAATAAATGCTAACACTTTCCATCTACGTGCTTTATTTGGATTATTGCATTCAATCCTTTTTTACCCTTCCCATTTTATAGATGGGCAAAACTAAGGCTTACTGTGTTCGAATTTGGCAAAGGAAGTTAATGCAGCCATCACGTGGCAGAGCAAGATGAAAACAGGTCCACCTAACTAACCTCTTCCTCCCATCTGTGCAAATTCAATGGCCAAATTCAATTTCTGAAAGCTGGAACATGTCACTAAATTTTTCAAATTTTCCAGCACCTACCCATTTTAAGTACAGTTTCCTTAGCGAGGCATATGGAAGCCTTTCATATGGTAGCCAAATCTAATTTTCCGAGGTATTATTTCCCATAACTATTTAACCAAAAGGCAAACTATTCTCAATTTTATCTTATGCCTCTGTACCCTCACTCATGCTGTTCCACAGAAAGCCCTTTACTTCTCTCTCCCAGACCCCTACTTTTTACCCATCTCAGATGATCTGTGCTCCTCTCTTCCTCTGCATTCCCACTGCTTTTTTTTTTTTTTTTTTTTAACATTGTTTTAGTTGTAGATGGACACAATACCTTTATTTATTTTTATGTGGTGCTCAGGATCGAACCCCATGCCTCACACGTGCGAGGCAAGCACTCTACCACTGAGCCACAACCCTAACCCCCCCACTGCATTTTATTATAACTCCAATGTGTAATTTAAACACAGTATACTTTGCATTTATTTCTCTGTACTTGTCTCTACCTAATGGTTAACTCCTGTGGGCAAAGATAAACTCTCCCACTTTGGGTCTCCAGCATGCTCTTGCTCAGATCTTGCCTGTGGTCCTACAGAATGCCTGCTCCAGTTATTACACCTTCAGAAAGTCTCACACAACCTTCCCTGCTCCTTCCAAGCATCATGTAACTAGACATGTTCTCTCACCCATCACTCATCATTAAAACGGGTCCCTGATAGCCTAGACTGATGGCCTTGTAAATACAGCCACCACATCATAAGCACCCAAGCTTTTCATCTACTGCTTGCCAACTTTCTCTATGTGACCAGTCACCAAGTCTCAAAGTCCCCCCAAATGCCAAAACATTAATTCTCACAAAGTCTCTCAAAAGCTATCAGGTATGCAGCACTTGTAATCTCCCATAGGTATTTTCATAACTTGTGCAAACCCCATGAGCAGGGGGGCAAGTCTTACTAATAATCTCTATGAATTTCCAACACACTATAGGTCTCTATGCTCCATCCTGCTTCCCAGTTCCCAGTCTCTTTGAAATCCCTCAAATAGGGCATCTCCAAAGCAAACCACTCAGCAGGCTCCCAAACAGGGCCTGAGAGACACATTCAAGAAAGGCAAAATGGCAGGCAAGTCATCATGACCACCAACCCTTATAGAAGATGTGTCTTTGGAACAATTTTTTTTAAATATATAATTTTTTAGTTGCAGACAGACACAATACCTTTATTTTATTTATTTGTTTTTATGTGGCACTGAGGATCAGCAACTGGTGCCTCCTACATGCAAGGCAAATGCTCTACCAACTGAGCTACAACTCCAGTCCCTGGAACAATTTTTTATAAGTCAGAGGCTATTATTAAACTCTTACATCCTACAATGTCCCTTGCTGTACAATTCAAATGCTAAACCAAAACTCATGGGCTACTTGGTCCCCGTCGCACCATCTAGCGGTTTATATATATATATATTATATATTTTTATATACCACCCAGGATAAAGACCCAGCTCTTAGGTGCCAATCAGATTTTTTCCCCTCATCTTATCAACTCAGGATGGATGTCACCAGACTTCACAACCCCAACCTCTAATGAAGTCATTTAGATTTATAACCAGGCCCAACCAGCCTAAGAATCCCAAGCATCTCTGCTACAGGAAGGAAGCCCTTTGCTCCACCTAAGAAGGAGCCTTCCTACTTGATCACATCACCTCCAACCACATCACCTCCATGCAAGCCCAGCCTGTTCAAAGGCTCGGGGGTCTGGGCCAACCCTTCAGCCTACTGCCTTACCTTGTTCAGGCAAGGTCGGGGCTGGCCTGGCAGTGCAGAGTGTGGCTGTGACCAGCACAGCCCAGAAGAGGAGGCACTTCCAGCTCCACATCCCAGTTCTGCAGTTAGAGATTGGTGACAAGGCTCCACACCTCCATGGATACTCCACCTTGAGCCTGATTCTCCTTTTCAAGCTGACTCTGGGGAAAGAAAAAAACAAAAAGTTAAGAGGGTCTGAGAGGTGGGGAGGCACAGAGAAAAACAAAGTAAAACATGCCACATGGTCACCCTGACCAAAACGTTGCTTGAAGCAGTAACTACTCCTTAAGGTACAAAGAAGAGAACTATGAGCTTATCCCAACATTTAATCAGAGGTTCCAGATTTCGATAAGACTAAGGGTTGTTTTATTTATTTTACTTTATTTTATTTTGGGGGGTACCAGGGATTAAACTCAGGGACACTCAACCACTGAGCCACATCTCCAGCCCTATGTGTATTTTATTTTGAGATAGGGTCTCACTGAGTTGCTTGGTACCTTGCTTTTGCTGAGGCTGGCTTTAAACTCAGGATCCTCCTGCCTTAGCCTCTGGAGCCGCTGGGATTACAGGTATGCCACCACTTCTGGCTAAGGGTTGTTTTAATTCATGCTAAAGCTTAGTGCTCCCCAAAGGCCATTTATGTGTTAAAGGCTTGTTCCTCAGCATGGTGCCACTAGGAGACGGTGGAACCTTCAAGAAGTAGAATGTAAGCTAGGCACACAACTATTATTCCAATTACTCACAACCCCAGCTACTAGAGAGGCTGAGTCAGAAGGATTCAGAGTTCAAGCCCAGTTTGGCCAACACAGTGAGACATTCCCCTGCACCCTGAACCCAAATATTTGGGGCCTAGGGGAGGTTTTAGGTAATCATGGGTATGACCTTGAAGGGGATTATGAGAATCCAGGTCATTCCTAGCTGTAAGGTGAACCATGCTCGAAAGCAACAGACCCAACCAACCACAGACTGAAACCTCTAAAACTGTGTGCGAAATAAACGTCCTAGTGGGCTGGGGCTGGAGCTCAGTGGAGAGCACTTGCCTAGCATGTGTGAGGCACTGGGCTTGATTCTCAGCACCACATATAAACAAATAAAAGGTCCATCAATAACTAATAAAAATATTTTTTTTTAAATCCTATTTTTCAATTGATTAGCTCAGATATTTTGTTATAGTAACAGAAGGCTAACACAGTTCAATTCTACAATTATATTTAGAGTGTAGACTAAGTGCTAGACTGGCTGGAAAGATTACCATGAGGTTCTCCAAGGTATAAGCCTCAAGACTGTTTATGCCGATAAGTGAACAGTCTCATCAATGTCCCAAACTGTTCTGTCACTTTGCTGGGTGAGGGCTTCACAAAGTGGTGTGCAATTAATTGGAGGATACTTAAGTATGCTGAGACTCCCCCAGTATTATATGGAATGAAGCACTCAATCACAAAGTAGCAGAACCATCTGGGGACATTCATAAGGCTATTCACTTCTCAGCACAAAGATTTTTTGTTTGTTTTGATACCAGGGATTGAACTCAGGGGCACTTGACCACTGAGCCACATCCCCAGTCCTATTTTGTATTTTATTTAGAGACAGGCTCTCATTGAATTGCTTAGTACTTTACAGTTGCTGAGGCTGGCTTTGAACTTGCAATCCTCCTGCCTCAGCCTCCCGAGCCACTGGGATTACTGACACATGCCACCTCACCTGACAGCACAAATGATCTTGAGACTTGTACCTTGGAGAACCTTACGGTGATCTTCCCAGTCAGGCTACCTCTTAGTCTGCACTCAAAACAGTTGCAGAACTATCCCTTTGGTGAAAAAGAGAGATGGATGAAATGTGGAGCACACCAAAGACTAGGAAATGGGAGCCAAGTACACAGGTAATTAGCTAGTAACTATGGGACTCAAGGAAGATGCCAGGCAAGTGCTCTAAGTTATACTCTCAATCCCCCAGAGTTCTTTTTGTTTCTAAAACTGTGTGAATCACAGGCATCTCCAGTTCTACCCACCTCCCTTACAGACACCAGAATCCTCACCACTCTTACAAAGGATTTCAGAGCACCTCAGAGGGTGGAACCATGAAGTGGATCCAGCTGTCCTTGATGCTGGAAGGTGACAGTTGATGTCTGACAGAGAATATCCAGAAGTTAGGACAGGAGTGGGAGGGAAACATCCCACTGCACAGTCAAGGGCTCTTGCAAGGGCTGACTCAAAGATGGCTCACGCCTGCCCCAGTTTAATGCACACACTTGGCAGCCCTTGACCCTTCCCAGGTCTGAAGTGAAAAAATTTAAAACAGCTCCCTAAGGGGCTGGAGTGGTAGCGAGCTTGCCTACCATGTGTGAGGCACTGGGTTCCATCCTCAGCACCACCAATAAATAAATAAATAAATGGGTAGGTAAACAGGTAGATAGATAGATAAATAAATAAATAAATGTATTGTGTCCGTCTGCAACTAAAAAAAAGTTTAACAAAATAAATAAATAAATAATAAACCAGCTCCCTAGGGTCTTAAAGAAAAAATCACTGCTGAAAACGTTTATCAAGTGATAAGACTTTTTGGTCACTGTTGGGCTATGTGGGGGGTGATCATCTCTCTCTTCCAGGTGGCTTTTGTCCTAAATGCTCCAGGGAACCATCCAAGTTATTCAGAGAATCTGTTTCCCCGGAACATGCCCTAATGTGGTGCTTCAGCCCTGCCTGCCCCTGAGCCAGGCAGGGCCCCTCTCAGTGACTCAGTCCTGGCTGGCAGAAAAACCCCAAATTCTTGGCTTCGCATGTGCTCGGCCTGCAGGAATACGTATGCACTATCACTGCTCCCTCCCAAGGCTTACTAAAATTTCATAATGATTTCATATTAAAGAAGTAAACATTTTCTTTTTTTGTACCAGGAATTGAACTCAGGGGCACTTGACCACTGAGCCACATCCTCAGACCTATTTCGTATTTTATTTAGAGACAGTTATTTAGCGTCTCACTGTTGCTGAGGCTGGCTTTGAACTCACAAGCCTCCGGTCTCAGCCTCCCAAGCCACTGGGATTACAGGCGTGTACTACCACACCTGGCCAAAAGTAGACATTTCTATTTCATTTTTCTAAATTTAGGAAAGGGACTAGAGATGGAAGGAATATTTACTGAATATTACAATATGCCAAAACTGCACTAGGTACAATTATTTGTAACTACAAAACTTTATTTATTCCTCACTATAAATTTCAGGAGGATAAAAGGTATAATTCTCCTTTAAGCAATGGAGAAACTGAGGCTCAAAAATCACCGGTTTTCATATGGTAGATGAAATCGGAGGATGCAAATAAGGGCTGGGGTGTAGCTCAGTGATACAGTGCTTTCCTGGTCCTCAAGGGCAAAAAAACAGCCCTATCTGATAAAGTCTCAAAGGGATTCATACCATAAAGAAAACAAGTAGATAAGGACAAATCTGAATTAGCTCTGGAAATGAAAGGGTATTTATTAGTCCTTTGGTGGACAGAAAGACCCCTGGAATCAGACCACAGATGGGCTGTCTAGGATAAGGATGGGGCACAACCTTGGGCCTGGCCCAGAAGCAATGCTCATCCGAGGGCATCTCTGACCCCGCCTTTCACTATATCCCAAAGATACACCTCACTGATGCAGGCTTGTCACCCAGAAAGATGCATCTAACTCAAGAAAACCAAAGTCCCATAGTAACTGCCAGCCTACTAAATGAATTTTTAGTATCCAAAAAGGGTAGATGGGAGAAGGTGGTATTATCTTGAGATGATTCAGCTTGGTTTCAATTATAGGGCTGGTTGCAGACTGTCCTCTTTTCGCTCCGTGATCAGCGTACGTCAAACTAATCTGACACTTTCCTTCCAACTCATTCAGCCAATACCTATACCCCTCCAGGCCTTAGGTTTCACCTCTAAAACAAGGATGCTAAGAAAACCTGGCTTCCTGGCACCAGTTCCTGAAATTAGAAAATAAATGGGCACACACCCCATTCCACACACCTGCAGAAAATGCAGTGATACAAACAGCTCATCCATGGTGCTGTCTGTGATCTTTGGAACCGCCATCTCATCTTCTCATTCTATTAATTAATGAATTCCCCAAAGCCCTCAGGAACAGCCTCTATCCGTTACAGCTTGACATATGTGACCTCTAGCCTTGCAGGTGTATACAGCATCTTCCCCAGAGATCTTGCAGCTGGCCCCCTTCAGTCTCTCCAATATCAGTCAGGACTCCCAGGATTCACAGCTTGACTTGCCTGGGTGCAGAGGTCCTCAATGGGGAGTGAAGGGTGGAACACAATATCTCAATCTTCACACTTGCAGGAGAGGGCTAAAATATCTGCCCCGCCTACATCATAGGTGGTTACGAGGACTGAATGGCAGCATGCATTAAAGTGTCTGAAGTTCTCATCCAAGAGAAAATGACCAGTGTCTGGTGGGAAAGCAGGGGCTGGACCACATGACCTTGCATCTCTCCCTAATTCTAAAAGTAAAGATTCTAAGCCAGGTGTGATGCACACCTGTAATCTCAGCAGCTTGGGAGGCTGAGGCAGGAGGATCGCAAGTTTGAAGATTGCCTCAGCAACTTCCTAAACAACTTAGTGAGACCCTGTCTAAAAGTGAAAAAACAAAAAGGGTTGGGGACATGGCTCAGTGGTAAAGTGCTCCTAGGTTCAGTCCCCAGTACCAAAAAAAAAAAAAAAATTCTATGAAATATCCTTTTTATGAGATTTCAATTTTCTTATAATATAAACAATGCAATAAAAACTAGTTTATGAGTTCAGGTCAAGTCTTTGCCTGGACAGGATTAACAAATGAATTCTTGCCCTTCCATTTATGACCTTACCATTCTGGGACAGACACTTAACTTTTCTGAGCCTCAATGTCCCACTTGTTGGAAGGAATTAAAATACTTGCCTTGCCTACATCACAAGTGGTTATGAGGATCAAATAAATGGGAAGTGGGGTCAAGGGGCCCACTTTCACCTCTTGAAAGTACCAACTTGGTCAAACATAAGGGGTTATATCTAAACATTGTGTTTTGATGGTACTCCCAGAAATTTTGATAACTATGGCAGGAGGACCCAAACTTCCTACCTGGGACCTTCCTACCTTTCTAAAGGTATTTCTCACCCTCTATCTTTAGGATGTACCCTGTACTCTAAACCTGGCTGGCCCATTCAGTGGCCTCTGGACACATGCAGTTCTTTAGCACCTGCAATGTGGCTACTGTTCCTTAGGATGTGCTAGAATGAAAAATATACACTGATCTTGAACACTGATCTTTTTTTTTCCCCCCTTGGCATTGAAAAAAAAAAAAGAATGCAAAGTGTCTCATTAATTTTTTATGTTGGGATTGGGAGTATTTATAGCTAAATGGTAGAGCACATGCTTAGCATAAGCAAGCCCCAGGGTTCACTCCTTAGCACCCCTGCAAAATTTTGTATATTGATCACATGTTCAAATGATAATATTTTGGGAATATTAACATGATATATTAATATAAATATAATGAATTAAATTATTAAAAATTAATAATTTAAAAATAACTAAAATCTAAACAAATACATTCAAAATTGATGTCATCCATGAATTTTCACTTAATTTCAAATGTGGCTACAAGGAAATCTAAAATTACATGATGTTTGTGTTCTATTTCTACTGGACAGTGCAGTTGAGTTCATCTCAATTCCTCTATATAAGTGTTTCTTTTTTGCCTTTCCTCCCTCTGCAATGCTTGGGGGTTTTCCTATTCTTGGAACTCCACCTTAAAAAGTTATATCTCTTCCACAAGCCTTTTCTAGGCCTTGTAGCTGCAGGATCCCATTCCCCTACATTTTCAAAAGAAATTACCAGCTCCTCTCCCATGAGGCCTGTGTTGCCTGCTATTATTGTTCTTTATATTCCCCATCCCCTTCTGTGCCCAACTAACCTTTATCAATACCCTTAGTACCTAGTATGCACATAGCAGATGCTGGCATATTTGTTAATTGGCTGAATGGAAGAAAAAAATTCTGATCAAGCAAGAACTGACACAGGCTGTATTCTTTTTCTGAAATGGTTAGGACCAAAGTTATTTCAGATTTTGAGGTTTTTCAGATTTTGGAATATTTGCATAGCTTATGCCATTGAACATTCAGATTTTCAGATCAGGGATGTTCAACTTGTATTAATACTATTTTAAAATAGAGTATATTGGTGTGGCGGGGCAGAGGGAAGTCATAGCTAGTGGCCTTGTTAGCCAGCCAAACTTTATTCTAAAGAATACCAAGTGAGAAATTTCTAAACATCTTGATGCCTCAGAATTGAGGGCAGCACAAACAGAAATGGTCACTTTTCCCAAAAGTGAGCAATGTTTACTCCATGTTGAAGAGTGCAAACAAATACTTTTATTAAAAAGTATTTTGAAAAAAGGCAGCTCAGTTTACAAAAGTTTAATTGGTCCAAAGGAAATGCTAATTGTTTGAGTTTCTGCAAGAAAGTGTCCAGTATCCTTGCAAGTGAGAAATATATATAAAATTAGCAATGAATGAAATGTTAATTGCGCCACATTATCTATGAAACCCTGCTGTTGAAGAAAGGTCATACTAGTGGAGCATCACCCAGATGGGTGCTGTTTACTGGGACAGGAGGGAGGGAAAACAAACATTGCTTCTTTATTGCAAGAGGGGTGGTGGTGACGAGGAGAGGTTTCTGTTTAAGATGCAACTTTGAGGGGAAAAACAAATATCCTAGCCACTTCTGGTATTTAATCCTCTCTGGAAACACCAGAACCTTCTCTAAAGCTCTACATCTGGACTCCCATCCATCCCTGGTGCATTCAGACCTTTTACAGAGCTCTGGGGAAGACAAATGCAAGGCAGATTTCCCAAGAGGAAATTAAACTCAAGTGATGTGAGGTTCTTTCAGAATAAGATGTTTGAATCAATTCTATCTAACTCCTTTTCCTCCAGCAGCAACAGGCTCAAACTTCCTAGACAGCTCTTTAACTAACAGCCATTTTGATGAAAGAGATTTAAAGAAATGGAAGCAAGGGAGAAAAAAAAAAAAAAGCCTTCAGAGGCTGGCTGCTAAACCTCAAATTCACAAGAGCAAATTTCCTATTAGAGGTCTTGTTTCAGGTCAATACCTCAAATAAACAAAAAGCATACCACTAAAAGAAAAATCTATGGATTTTCCTTGGTCCCCAAGGCTGGAGTCCATCTACCCAATGTTCAATTCAATTTCTTGCCCTCTGGAGCCCATCAGGAATAAAGCTAGCCCAGGCTTAGGGATTCCTGGATGTATTCTTAATCCCTGCCCACCTCCAGGGGGAAGAGATAACATCTGTGATGCTCCTTTTCCATTTCTTCCTGTCCCTGTGCTTCACTTATTATTCAAAAGGCACCAAAAGGAACTTTCTAACATACTCTATGGCCAGAGACCAAGGAAAAGAAGCACCTTAAGATTGTCTACTTTGGTCCAAATCCCTATTGTGAAAACATCTCTAAAATGGGCATTTCCGTCCACATGGTAAAAGCAGGCAGTGAAAGTACTCTCAATCCGGAGGACTCTCATTAAAAAGCTGACACTCAGCTATGACTAAGAGTAAATGCAACAGATAGTTCAAGGGGCTTGTCACTGATGCGGTATATAACCATCCCAGCGGAAGCCAGGCCCCATCCCCAAACACCCAGTACCCTGAGAGTCAGTGCAGCCCTAGCTTCTCCCAACCAAATTAAGGAAAATATGTAAACAAGTCATTAGGAAAGGAGGCAGGCCATCAGGACAGACAGAGGGCAATGGCAGAGCTTGCTGGTCTTTGGTCACTGAAAGGAAAAGAGATGACCCGGGCCTGGGGGTAATTAGCCAGACGAAGGCAGGTCCCTTGGGCCCTGCTACTTAGCTTTTAAACAAGCCTCAGAGAGGAAACCGGGAGCCTGAGCCAAGGGAGGAAAATGGCCACTTTCTGCTCAACAGTCTCAAGGCAAAGGTTCTACAATTTAGATGGTATTCCAAAAAAAGCACTGGTCCGGAGGTGCAAAGGGCAGGGCACATCTGCAGAGGAAACAAGTCACCTTAATTACCATGTCTAGAGAAAGTGCGATTTCATTACAGCTTCCAAAACTACCGCCCAAAGAAGGAAACCAGAGAAGTGTTTTCAATTTGAAAGAGAGTAGAAAGGAGAGGGTGAGAGGGACCAATTCTCCCCACTCTGCAGCAACTTACCCCTTGGCTGGACACTATGATGCTTTCCTACCCCAAAGAATATTCAAAATCCAATTCGACACTCCACCCCTACCCCTGCTTACATAGCTGCAGCCATTATTTAAATGGTAAAACACCCCACTTTAGTTTCTGAGGGCTGCAGCTCAAGTAACTCCCTAAAAACACACAAGGAAGGAGCGCCTCTGGCAGCAAACAGTTCCCGCCCCCAGCCGCTGCGCACCGGGCTAGCTCCGGGGAGAGTGGAAAAGAGACGTGTGACGCCGCGGTCCGGCGGCTCGGCACCGGGACTGACGCTGCCTCCTCTTCAACTATAATTAAAGGGGAGAGAAAGCGATGCTTTGGTTCCAGAAACATCGGTTAGGCCCGGTTCTGGGCCAGACTCCTAGCCAAAGAGGCCACCTTTAGCAGAAGAACCGTTCAGAAGTGCTACAGACGAAAACCTTGGCCCTATCTCCCAAGATGCGTCTTTTCTGCACAATCTAGAGAGCACCCAAACGCCACCACCAGCAGCAGAGAATACTTAGTTCGGGAGGATACTAAATAACTTGGGCTCGCGGTAACTTTCTTTTCTCCTCCAATCCGAAAGCCCAGTTTCCAAGTCTCAAGTAATTTTAAGGAGGGAGGTGGTAAGAACAAGTTGAATAACCCCAGTTTTAATTTAGAAGAGGGGGAGGGGAGGAAGAGGGATGTTAATAATGTGGCTGCGGTGTACCCGTGTGGGGTGAAACGGAACCAGATGCGGCTGCTACATCTGGGGAAAGGGGGTGGGGGAGAAAAGCACCGTAGAAATGCTTTCCAAACGGGGTAATAGCTTCTAGGCCAGAACAGAAGAGCAGGTTTCCTCCAGCCCCCAAAAAAGGTGTTTGGCTGCATCACAGGGTATGTGTTTTAAGAACCCCATCTACAATGTCACAAAATCTGCAAATGTGGGTTCTAGTTTCTCATCCTTACCCCAAACATAACGGGAGCCAGGAGCGGAGGGCAATGGGGTCTGGGGTCGGAGAAGCAACAAGCACTGCCAAGGGGACCGCACCATACAAAATCCTCACCCCTTCCCCCACCTCCAAGAACTAGATAGGAACTGAATGTCCCCCCGCCCCCGCCCCATAATGGGGTTTAACATCACCAGCTGGTCACCCTCCCCTTCTCCAAACTTCGGACTCGTTCTGAAAAAGTCTAAGTGGAACGAACATCACCACCCCTTGGAAAAGGGAATCTTTTTCTTCGCTCTCTGCTAAAGCAGATTCAGCCATTTGGTGACGACACCTCCTTAAAACCTATTCCAAGACATGCTAACCTTCCCCTCCACTTCCTTTCCTCCTCATGCCTCCACCCACCCGCCCCAATCCGGACCCCGAACTTTACCGGAGGTGGAAAAGACTTAGAAATGCAACAGATTTTAAGGGGTGCGCCCAGAGCTACCTGCTGAATCCTTACAAGGGGACCAAAAAGAGATGGAGTGGAATGCAACACACACAGACAGACACACACACACACAACCTCGCTGCCCACTCCCGCCCTCCTCCCTAGTCCCAGGAAACAGAGGGCCTCCACCGTCTTCGTCCCGGCCCAATCCCTCCTAGGACTCACCGTGGAGCCGCCGCCGCCGCCTCGCCAGCTCCGGAGCAAGAGTTGGCGGAAAAGTTGGGCGGCAGGAGGAGCGGCGGGACCAGCGCGGGGAGGGGGTGCAGAAGGCGACGCGGAGGGAAAGGGAGGGGAGACCAAAGGGGGGGCGCAGAGCGCTGGGGACAGAGCTGGGAGGTGGAGGAGGCGGGTAAAGGGTGGAGGGAGGCGCCGGCCGCGACTGGGCTGCGGCGGGCGAAGCGCGCAGCCAGGAGGCTCCAGCGCCGGGGGCCGCTCGGGACGCCAAGCCCGCCCCGGATCTGGGGGCGCCGCGGCTCTTACCTCACTTGGCGCTGCGGTTCCGCCTCGGGAGAGCTCGCCGTGGCTTGTGCAGGCGGGCGTGTACCCGCGTTCCCCACTCCGGCCCCTCGCCCCCGGGCTCCGTTCTGGTCCTTGCCGGGTCGCGAGAATCCCGAGGCCGGCGCTCGACTCCCGGTGGCGCTCGGTGCTCGGCGCCTCCAGCCCGGGCGGGAACAATGGAGCCGAAGCTGGTGCCCCGGAGGCGGGGCGGGGGGAGGGCTCCCGTCCGCCGCCCGGGGTCTCCAGACCTGGTGCCTCCCCTCTCCAGAACCCAGCGGCGGCGCCTCACGCTTCTTGCAGACCCGGCTCCATCGCCCTGAGAGGGCCCCAGCGCCGCGGTGTGCCCGACTGCAGCACTGGTATGGTGCGCCCTGCGGGGCGCCCCTCGAACCGGAGAAAAGTCCTCGGTCTCTGCTGCTCTTCCAGCTGCGGCGCGCGCTCGCGTCCAGGGAAGGCGAGGGCACCGCAATGCGCTAACCACAGTCTCAGTCCTGTCCGGATGTTGCCGCCCAGCTCTGGGCACAGCCCGGGTTTCTCGGCGCGCTGCGGCTGGACCAGCTTTCGGGCTCCTGCTCGCCGCCGCCTACTGCCGAGGCCGCCGCACCAGTGGCCGCAGGAGCGCTCCGAGCGCTGTGCGCCGGCGAGGCGCGAGGGCTCGCTCTCTCACTCCCACCCGGCGCTAGTCCCACCTCCTCCTCCTCCCCCTGCAGCTGCCTGCTGGGCCTTGTAGTTTCGGAGCCGCTGCCCCCGAGAAGCGGGGAAGCAACCGAACTGCCAGGAGCTCTGCTTCTCTTCCCAGCAGTCTGGGGTTCTTTGGCGCTCCTGCCCCTCCATCTGGCAATACTGGAAGGGTCCCCGAATTTCAGGCCATGGACAGATTAGCAAATTGGAGGGTGGAGTGGGGATTCTCTGTAGCCCTGAGGTTGCACAGGGCAGCATGGGCTTTGGATTCTGTGCACCTTGAGGGAAAGATCTCGCTCCAAATCTCAGCTTCCCTGTCTGTAAAAGGGGGATAATAGTACTTTTCATACAGAGTGGAGGAGTTAAAAAGGGCCTAGCACATAGTTCACACTCAATAAATACTAGCTGTTTTTTTTTTTTTTTTTCATAAGTAGGTCAATCCCCCCACCCCTGAGCTCCAGACCCTTTCCTTGGATCTCATCTTTCCCCAGTCACATAATTTAGGTTTTCCAAGGAATTGGGCCTTGCAAATTCTACAGTACCATTCTTGGTCTCTAGAAGTCTCCAGCCTGTGGTGAATGATCAGAAAGCAAAGAGTGAGTGGTGGGAGGGGGTGTGTGTTTTGTTGGTTTGGAAACTAATCAGAGCCCACTTGAAGCACTCTCTGTTCCATGGAACCCAAGGAAAAGTGGCTCAAGTGCCCTTTCCCCTTGATCCTTACACAGAGTGTATTGTGGTTCTGTAATTCAAATGGGTATGAGTCCCATGGGGAACTTTTGAAAACTACAAAATCTAGGGCTTGCTCATTCATGAGGAATCAAAATGTCCCAGGAAAGAGCCAAGAATCTATATTTTTTCCCCAAGGCTCCATGGTGACTGTGATTTGAGGTCAGGTTGGAGACCACTGGTAGGCGAGGAAGGATACTTCCATCAGAATGGAACCACCACCCAATAACTTTTTGATTCTGCACAAGTAATGCGTCTGACAAGACTCTCACAAGGTTGTCAAGAGAATCAAATGGAATAGTAGATATTGGTGCACCAAAAGCGTTGCACAAATTAAGTAAATGGTAGGGCCTGTTCCCTCATCCACACCCCACCCTAACTAGTAAAATCGTGAATGCGAGATTGTGCATCTCACTCCAAATTTAAAAAAAGAATCTCTCAGACATTTCTCTATTTGATCAGCAGGTGAAAGAACAGTGAGCCATATAGTGCCATCACATCCTAAGCACTCAAGATATATTTGTTGTGCAAGGTCCTGGAGTTAAATCCCAGCACTAGGGGAAGGGGGAAGCAGGAGGTGTAGCTCAGTAGTAGAGAGGATGTGCTCAGTATGTGCAAGACCTTGGTTCAATACCCATGACACACCATGCACACAAGAGGTTTACCAACTGGCCAAAGAATAAGTATTCAATAAATACTAGTTGAGCTGGGTGTGGTGGCACATGCCTATGATCCCAGTGGCCCAGGAGGCTAAGGCAGGAGGATCAAAGCCAGCCTCCATAAAAGTGAGGTGCTGAGCAACTCAGTGAGACCCTGTCTCTAAATAAAATACAAAATAGGGCTGGAGATGTGGCTCAGTGGTCAAGTGCCCCTGAAATCAATCTCTGGTACCCTCACCAAAATAAATAAATAAATAGATAGATACTAGTTGAACAAATGAATAAATTAAAAACAAAGACTCTCTTATGTAATAAATGAAATGCAGACATTTTTATAGGGTTATGCTTTCTACAAGAAAATCTCTATGCTGGATAGCCCTCTGACTCCACATCAGTCAGATCTAGTTTATCTTCCCATAGAAGCTTCCAAACTCACATCTTCCCTGTCAATTTCAACCCAGCCAGTCCATGGAAACCCTACTGACTTTCTGGTATATTCACTGATTTTATGTTTGTGGTGTGTGTGTGTTAGTGGACGTGGGGGGTGGGGTGGGGATACTGGAGATGGAACCCCGGGGCTTTGTGCATGCTAGGCAAGTGCTCTTCCACTGAGCTATATCCCCAACCCTATTCACTGATTTTATACTTAACATGGCTTTGGTAGTTGTCTTTTCACTCTTTACCCATTCTAGCTTCTTTTCACTCTGCCTTTCTCTAGCTTCTGAACTATTCTTGGGCAAGGATCCCATTGATCTGCTCAGGAGGTTTTCCATATACATATCTGTTGTTTTTGGACTCAACAAGTGTAACAAACCTGAGTAACCAGGGAAGGAGATAAAATTTGTGGGGACATGATTGGGAAGTCAATCCATGAGAAGAAAAAACATCCAGACTGCAGTGTTAACACTCAACTAGTATTTCTCCACTTTGCTCCTAAAGGGGAGTATCTTGAACTTCCTTTCCATAATTCTTCTTAAACAAGGGTTTTAGAATCCCTGGGCTGCAGATGTGGCTCAGTGGTAGAGTACTTGCCTAACATTTATGAAGCTTGGGTTTATTCCCCAGAACCAGGGGCAGAGGGCGGCAAGGGTAAGAATCCAGTCCTTTTTTTTTTTTTTTTTTTTGTTCTTTTGATTTGAAACTGTTTAATGAGTCTGTTGAATCCCAAAAAGGAGCTGAAGAATGTATCCTTGATTTAAACAGAAAGAGAACGATCTAAATGTCTTATTTATTTGTCATTGAGGGGACTCACTGCTGAACAAATTCCTTTATAGATTTATCAAGAAATCAGAAAGAAAATGGGTGGCCAACTTGCTAGCTCTTGCTTCACTTGTTCTCAGGGAAACAGCTCAAGAGAGCGAAATGGAGAGAAAGATCCAGGGAAGACATGGGCCATCCCGGTGCCATCCATAGACCCAGTCAATTATTTAATTAAAAGGTGGCTGCTTTTATCCTTGCAGCCCAACACCCCCCCCCCTTCAGTAAGTACCACTCCCCACTGCTTCCCTGCTCTTTCTAAACGAAGACCCTCCACTTTGAAAAAGGCCCAGGCCTGTGGAGGGAGAGGGTCCCAGGGCAGTTCTGAGCTGCTCCAAGCAACTGGGGTCAGACAGCAGCTCTGCCTGCCTCTGTCCTGCTCTGAGGACTCCTGGCACCTTGCCTCCACACACAGAAATGTAATCTTCCCTCTGAGATAACAAAGAGCTGGGAGGGTCAGGGAGGATTTGTAGGCCCCTTGCCCTGCCAGCGAGTTGTCTGAGGGGGAGACAAAGGCTCTAACGCTCCAGGACCTGATAACCAGTTGGGGGCCTGTTGCCTCCCAGATCTGTGGGAGGAGGGGAAGGGTGCTGAATGAGAGGAAGGGAATCAGAGCTCTCCCCAAAGCCCTGTCAGCTCCCATTGTTGGAGAACACTGCAGAAAAATCTCTCCTTTCTCCAGCTACTCGTGTCCTCAGAGTTCTTCCAGGAAGGAAGGAGTCCCTCTTGCTCTCTCCCCACACACCATCCCGACGCTGTCCTGCTTCCTCTGAGTCTTGAGCACCAGGGATGAACTCCCTACTTCCCAGGGTCAGTACTGCAGAGTTGATGCTTCTTTGTTAGGAGAGCGTTGATGGAAGAAAAAAAAAAATGCATCTATACTGGGTGAAGTTGAACTCTGCTTGGTCCAGCCTGCAGGAATCCCTGGGACTGGTAGGAACTGGGAATCAGCAGATTCTCCATTCTGAGAGCTTATTGCTAGAGGGGATTCAAGAGGAGAGAACTGTCTGGGGTTTTTTTTTTTTTTTTCCCCTCCAAAGTGAATCATTCACAGGTTCCTGGGAGCAGGTGGGCAGCCCAGCCTTTTGCCCCAGGCCCCTGGAGTTAGGGAGCAGCAGCCAGTTACCATCTGGCCACCATTTGGTGACCCCTGGCTGTTCTCAGCACAGCCTCAGCCTGTTAGAGAAGGGAAGGTCTTGTTTGGATTGGTGTTTTTGTAAATAACATTCACTCTCCCCTACCAACTGGGAGTGGGAAGGGGAGCTTGCAGTAGTGGTAGCTTGGCCCTTCTGGCCCTGATGCCACATTTATTCATTAAGCATGGGGGGGGGGGGGGCTGGGGAGGGGTACCTCTTGTGTGTCAGGCACTGTGTTGGGCACAATGAATCTGAAGTAGAAAGAGAGGAAGGTACCACCTTCAGGAGCTCAGTCTTGTGGGGGAGCACTCTACATTACAAGTAGTGCCACCTAGGGGTATATGCATGGGGTTTGGAGAGGAGAGATTAGGAAAGATGACTCAGAAGTGTTGCCTGAGTCTTTCTTGAAAGTCGATAAACAACAAGTGAAAACCCATAGATTCTTCTGGGATAACTGAGAAAAGAAAGCCTGGGGAACACATCTGGGGTGAGTGGTGGTTTAGGTGGGCATTGAGGCCTTTGAATTATTTTGCTTTGAAGGGATGAGCACAGTCTCTGGGGTCAAACAGCTTTGAATGCAGATTCTGA